AGCAGTACCAGTGTCCCTGAATGTAACCGAAAATCATCATTTAAAATTATAAACTGTTTCGGAAGAGTATTTTTAATTTTTTAAAATTTTCTCATCATGAACATAAAACACACCCTGTTTTACTCACTTATGTATAATCATAAAAGATCAGTTTGACATAATAAAAATTACATATATATAAACAAAATTATAAAAACACAAAAATTCAGCGAAAATTAAAATGAAAGTCTAAATTCAGCGAAAATTAAATGGAAAAATAAAAATTACTTTTAAAGGAAGAATTGTAGACTTGTAGAATTATATGAGAATAATTTTTTTAACAACTAAAATTTAAATTAATTTCCATGTCATTTCCATCAAAAAAAAAAAAGAAAAGAGAGAAGAGAAAAGTTAAAGAATCAGATATAAAGTTGAAATTAAGATTTTTGATGTAAATTTAAAATTATAATTTAAAGTTTTTATTGTATAATTTTTTAATTAGTAATATTAGGATTATAATTTTTCCCCTATAATTTATAATTTTTCTTTTAATATCGTACGCTTAATGAAATTTTAATTTAAATAATTTCGATTACGAATAAAATATTTTAAAGGAGTAAGAAATGAAAATTGGAGAAGAAGCTATTACTAAAAAAATTGCATACTTTTGGGCGAAATGATTTTTCCTTTTGATAATATAGTTTTTATAAGTTAATCATTTCTTGTGCAAATTAAAAGCTTGCTGAAATTTTTCTTCTTGAGAAAATCATACCAAACAAATTGAAATTTTTTTAACTAGTATAACACTTAAGAAAACCATGTCCTATCAAGGATTGAATAAATTTAGTTAAAGTATCAAAAGAAATTTTAATATAAAAATTTTCTTATTATATTCTCACTCTTACATTTATCTTAAATTCTCATATAAAACATATTAAAGGTATATAATATTTAATTTTCATTGAATAATTTTTTTCTCGTTTTCATTAAAATTGAAGGTTGAATATAAGTTAATTACACATATTAGTCATATATATATAAATATATATATATATATATATATATATATATATATGCATATATATAATGTGGTTAAATAGAATAATTTTTCTCATAATTTTAATAAATGAAATTCTAAGAAAATTCTAATAATTATTTAATTAAAGATGATTTTCATTATGATATAATTTGATATAGAGCAATCATCATAATTACAAGCAGTTCAAAAGAAAATAATATTAATACTTCTAAATTTCTATATAGGGATTTTAATTCTCTACAGATACAAAATTTATTCATTCAATTGAAAATCAAAAAAAAAAAATCTATTATAGAAAATATCTTCAAAATCATTAATTTTTACACATTAATAAAATTATAACATTTATTTTGAGAAATAGAAAAATTGGGCGCAATCGACAAATATTTATATAATTATATTCTTATATTTTATAAATATATATACATAGTATAGTTATTCAATTTTATTAAAACATTAATGAAATTGAATTAATATCCTTGTATATTCAAATATAAGATTATTATTTAATTAGATATTAGTAAAGTAAAATTATACTTTTATATTTCTATGAATAATTATTATCAAATTACATCAAAAAGTTTTTCATAATTAAAATGAATTTTCACGTTTTTTTTTCCTTTTTTTTTGTTTTTTGTTTTCGAAAAATTGTAATTATTTACTTGTATATGAACAGTTCGTTAACATAAAACAAAAATTTTTATACTAATAAATTTCGTGTGACTTAAAATGATGGTAAGAATCAAATAAGTAATTGCTTAACATTTACTCCACCTATCTTTAATTATTATACATTACAATATTAAATTTCAATATAGAAGAGTTACAAGGACATTAGTCCTTGTAATTAAATTTTGAATTTAAGAATTTATTTTTTTTGTTCCATATTTATTTTTCAACTCATTCAAATTAGTTTTCTCATTAAATTCAGCCTTAAATATTTCTTGTTTGTCACAATTTGGAATATAGGCAGGAAGTGACTCAAATAATGCAATTTAACTTAACTTTATATAAAAATTGAACTCAAAATTCAAAACTGAGATAGATTATTTCTGGAAGATGCCTAATAATACCGCAAAGCTTAGGAAATTTAAAAAGAAATCAAAAAAATTCAGTAATTTCAAATCGAAAAATTTGGAAATTTTTCAAAGTTTACACTAAAAATTTCTTATTAAATCCAAATATTGATTAAATCTATAGTAAAAGTTCCTTTTAAATTCCACATAAAAATTTTTTAAGATATGCGATTACCTAATTCACAATTTGATACTAATTTAAAGCTATATGCACAATTCAGTTAAATATACAGTCTCACAGTCAGAAACACTATATTTAAATAGTAGCGATTCTTTAAGATTACGCCATTCCTAAGCTAGCAAATCCCGTTCTTCATATATCTACTTATTTGTAAAGTCTAATCTAATAACCATACTATCAATTCCACTCCAATTGAAATATACTATAAATAGAAGCTATTGAACTTTGCATTTTTAAATCACAATGAAAAATTAAAAATATGAAAATTATAACTTATTCTTTAACTATACACACAATATTGTTATATATACAATAAATTAAGTAGGACACTTTCAACTCATATTTTATTATAATTATCAACAATTATATTAATAGAATTCAATAAAAGTAGTATAGAACGCAGTTAATAAAAATAATAATCGCCAAACGAAAAGGACATAAAATAAATTTTCTTTTTCTATTATAGCGTATGCGTTCATTCACATAGTACGTATATATACGTTTCATACATATCAACTCATATTAAAATCAAGTACGTATACACTTCTACTCATATTATTAACATAAGCATTCATTAAACTTTCCACCTGTTTCATTTCATTATTATTTAAATAAATTCCAGTACATGAAAAATTAATGCCACTTAGCTACCATTTTTTTTTTAAACACATTCGTATTTTCTGTCTTATTATTAAACCAACTTAATGTCCTTTCATAAAATGAATGTTCATGTAATGTGAATAATGTCGAAAAAAAAAAAACAAAATTCATTAATTAAACTTATATGAGAAGAAAAATAAAATGAGAAAATCTTGTTTTTGTTACTTTAGTTGTTGTTATTGTTCATTTAAATTAATAATGAAATTAATCAATGGTATATATGTATATAAAATGGCAGCAAAAAGAGAAGATTATAAAAAAAAACATAAAAGAGACACCGAAAAAATGAACATTAAAATAATTTTACTCGCAATTTGTTCTCTTAATTTCTATTGTCTTGTTAACAAATTTCAATAAATTTTTAATTATAATTAAAATTTATTGTTGGTCTTTTTTTCCCCTTTTTGTGCAATTTAAGCATAAATAATTTTGAATAAAAATCACTTTGAAAATTTATTTAAGAATTTTTAAACTAAACAATTTAATTTTACATGTCATTCAAAATGAGGCGATAATTTCAAATCTTATATCTCCCAACTCATGCTCTCAACTATTAATTGTAGTCTAGAAACTGTTAAGCACGTCAGATATCATTGAACTTGAAAATACTTTGTATGGCAATAAAGGAAATCGGCTCAAATTGAATATTATAAATATATTCCAAGAAAATTTAGGCTTATTCGGATAAGTTAAAGATGAGTCAATTTTCATTAAGAAAAATATTTTGTTCTTAAAATATTAAATATTAAATTACCAAAATTTATTTCAAAAAACTAATATTTTAATTCTTTAGGAAAATTTGAATAGTAAATTACAAAATCTCCTCACATCTTCCTTTAAAATCCTTCTACCAAACCACCCGTTATTGTGTCGCTTGCCCCCTTCCAGATTTAATCATTTCAAAATTAATGACACCCTATATTTATTTCCTTTTAAATAATTTAATAATATCTGAACACTTTAAAATAATAGACCCCGAAATCCTGATTTTTTTTATAACACCTTATATTTTTCTTTAGAATTAAATACTACAAATTTTCAAATAGCACTTTCAGAAATTAAAAAAACAAATATGATAAAAAATAAAATGGATAATAACCATAAGAAAGAGTAAAATTTAAATGTAATTGAAATTAAAATGACTATTGTTATTAGGGAATAAATTTGATTTCCTTTGAAAGACCAAATACAATAAAGGATTAATACGCTACTTATGCCTGGAAATTTTAATGAATACAGAAACGGTAAATGAAAATTTTAGTTATTCAAAATATTGTAAATGAATTGAATTTCGAATAAAAACCAATAGTCTGTGTCCCTCAAATTTAAAATTTTTGTGTACATATGAATTTTTATATGGTATCACACGTCATTTGATATTATAGTATAACAGTTACACTGATAATAACACTAAGTTTCTTTAAATATCCCCATTTTTTTTTCAGCAAAAATTTAATAATATAAATTTTTAATAGGATATGAAAATTTATAAAAAACATTCAAAAATTTTTTTTGTTATACGATTTGCATTTTTGATATCTCATACTGTTATACTAACAACAAAAATTCAGTTAACCATTAATAATTTGTACTTGAAGTGCAGAGATTTTACGTCAGAGATTTTAGTTGACGAATGTTGGAGAATTCAAGGAATCAAGTTCAGAAATCGGAACTCTTAGAACCAGAATAAAAATTACTGTTATACTGGTATACTATAAGGTTCGACTATATATTTATGAACAAAATTTTACTTTGCATTATAGTTTTGACCTTAATTGAACAAAAATATTAAATGAACATAAAGAACATTAATTATAAAAATTATGAGGAATATTCAAATATTTCAATAATTTTTAAAATCCCAAAAAGAAACTATTAAAAATTCCTTAAAAACACCAATATTTTGTTGAACACAAAAATTTTATAATTTAATTTAAATTTAAATTCAATTTTAATAATAAAAATTTTTGCAAAAAAAAATTTCATCAATATGTTAAAATAAATAATAAGGATAATAAAAAAACAAAGAAAAAACGAAATAAAATTTTTTTTAAATTGAACTTACCTCATCCCATTTCATGAATTTATCTCCTTCTACTAAAGCTTTAGACACTTCAATAGGCCCAACAGTGACATAAGTTTTATTATTACTTGCCATTTTTATTTATTTCTTTTTGTTGTTTTTGTTTATTTTATTATTTTATTTACAAATTTTCTTTAATTTTTTTTTTATTTTTATTTTTATTGTTGCCCCTTGTGTTAACTTTTTCTATGTTACAAAATTTTTTTCCTCAGTGGAAAATAACAATAATAACAAGCAAATAAAAACTGAAGAAAATGAATAAAAAAAAAAAAACAAGAAGAACAGCAACAACAAGAACAAGAATAAGAGAAAACTGCAAAATAGAGCGCGTATCCTCGTTACAAATGTAAATATTTTTAATTTTTATTTATTTGTCTTTTTTTTTTTTTGTTTCTTTCAGTTTTTATATACAACGCCGCTCTTTGCTCTCTCTTTTTCTTTTGCTAACAACTATATGCGGTGAGTAGAGTAAAACTAGGTATGCTTGTTTACTTTTTTTTGTTTTTTTATTATTGTTACTATTAATAATTGTCGTTGTTGGTGTTTTTTATATTTTGGTTATATTTGCTGTTATTGTTAATGTTATTGCTGTTGTTGCTGTTACTACTGCTGCTGTTGCTGCTGCTGCTTCTGTTTTTAATTTTTTGTTTTGTGCTGCTGATACAATTGGATTTTCTTTGTTTTGTTTTTTAATTTTTTATATATATTTTTTTATATTCTCTTGTTTTTTTTTTTGTTTATTATTTTTTTAATATTTATTACGTTTTTTGTTTTCGTTATACTCCTATATTTTATTTTTCTATTTAAAAATTTAAAATGTTGTACGCCCCTAGATATTTTATGACAGTCTTAACATTTTTTTGTCTTGTTTTATGGCTTTGTTTTGTTTTTGTTGTTTATAATTGTTGTTATTGTGTTTTTACTTTATTTCTGTATTTTTAACTTTATACTTTTACATATTTATTTAGTTTTTTTTTGTTTTTTTTTTTGTGTTTTCTTTACTGACTTTAAATTTTTTCTGTATACATGTATATAATAATAGTATAGTGGAATAATCAGGACTATAATATATTCATTTATTTTTTTTTATATATTTTACTATAAATTTTTTGCATGGTATTTAAAATATTCGCGAGTTTTACTTGTTATTTTTCACTTGCCTTTATTTTCTGCGTTTTTTTTTTTTTTATTTTTTATTGATGATGGTAAACCACTATAAGAATAAGAAGAATAAATAAATAAATTGCCCACAGCAAAATATTTAACAAGAATGTTATTTTTAAAAATACTCTTATATTTAATATTTTTTTTTTTTATAAAAGTTGAACTTCAATATTCTGATTTTTAATTATTATACACTCAAATATACATATTTATACATAAATATTAAATGTATATATAGAATAAAATGAAGCACGTACTTGTAGAGTATAGACAAGAAAAATGTTTTATCCTTGTCTTTTGTTTTTGCTCTTTTTTTGTTGTTTTCTCCCCTTTCAGGTTTTTGTTTAAAAATTTGGTTGTTATTTTAGTTTTTACTATATTAACGTATTTTTAATATGTTTGTATGTGTTTAATGGAATGTTACCGAAAGGGATATAAAAATAATGTAAAAATATATAAGAGAAAACAACCTAAAAAAAAAGAAAAAACAATGAAAAGGTTAACATCCAAAAAATAAACTAAAAAAAACAAAAGGAATAACTAAAATGCAAAAGTAACAACAATAAAAACAAGTGAATAAGAAATAAAAATATTTTTAATGCTCAAAATGTTTAAATTTTTATTACTAGTAAATTTGGTTTTTCGTTTTTTTTTTTTTGACAAAACTTTAAGCGATTACACAATTAAATTGATGGAAAAATTTTGAAAATGGAGAAAATTACAAGTTCTTAAAAACATACACAGACACACATTATTTAATTAAAACCAATTTCTTGAGTATTTTGTCGAGAAGAGGAGATAGAAAGAGAGAGAAAGAGAAAATTTTATATGATTTTTACATAATAAAAAAATTTTTACTTTATTTTTAAAACTATTATTTTTAATGTTAAATAATAAAATTTTATTTAATATAAGTTCTTGTTATTTTTATTATTCTTTTTCTCTTTAATTTTACTATATAATTTTATTACATAACTCTCTGGTTGATATTTTATATTGGCCCTTAAAAACAATGTTTTAATGCCCTTTTTTTAATATATTTTATTAATTTTTATATTTTTGTATATACTTATGCATAGATGTAGAAATTTTGTAAACAAAACTATTTTTTTATTGTTCACATTTTATAATAGTTTTTTTTTTGTTGTTTTTGATATTTTTTTTTTGTTTAATATTTATTCTTACAATATTTAATTACCTACATATATGTTGCGATTACAATAATTGTTATATATATTTTTTTCTTTCATTATTTCAAATATTCTTAGACACATACACATTTAAGTTTGAAATTATTCGGTTTTTATTATTTAAAATTTAAAAATTTCAGAGGATCGATTGAAACACATACCATTTTAAGATATTAACAAAAAATTATAAATGATTATATTTAAAATACAATTATTTTCCTTGAATATTTTCAATTTATGCTTGTATATCACTTTTTCGCATAATTATACGTGAACATATAACAGAATAATACTTTTCAATTCAAAATTGTAAATTGAAAAATGTTTTGAGTTTTCTGACATTTTTTAATATAATAGTAACATTATGAATTAATACATGTGTGTTTAAAATGTGTCATTTTATATTATGATGGTTGAGGCACCCGTGAGTATAATAAATAACGTTCAAAATAAAGGATGTGATTTTTTTTTTTTTAAAAACTTAATCGGATCATAACAAGAATAATTATTTTATTAAAAATATGAAGAGAGGGAAAAAAAATTTTATTTTAATGCTATGCACTATAACTGTTATACAATACATTGTTATACAATATAACTATTATACATTATAATTGTTATACATTATAACTGTTTTACATTAAAACTGTTATACATTATAACTGTTATACAATATAACTGTTATACAATATAACTGTTATACAATATAACTGTTATATATTATAACTGTTATACAATATTAGCTTTATAGTGACTACCAATATCTGCTTATAATCTCTCTAAGCAAAAATAATTTTTTTTCTATATCATAAAATTTTTAATCTCACATAAGATATTTTGTTTGTTTTGTTTTTCGTTTAATTTTTGCTCTTATATTTTTTAACTCTATTGTTTCTGATTTTTCTTCATATTTTTTGTCTTATTTATCTTTTTTCTCCTTTTACTTTTTAATTATTTAACGTTTTTTTCCAAAATATTATTAATTTTTTAGTTAAATAGCTATTAATGTTAAAAAGTGAAGAAAAATATTAATACAATGAAAAAAAATGCTAATTACAGAGTAGGTATATGCTTATGAGTATATATCAGTATATATAATAAATAGATATAAAAGAGAAAAATAAAAAGCCTTGTTATTTTCTAAATTTATTATGTTACTTTTTTCTTAAAGCTCAAAAATATTGTATATATGAATATAAATATGTAATATATATCAAAAAACGAGAAAAAAATTTAAATGCCCCTTATACATACTCGTATATACAATTATACTTTTTTTTTCTGTTCTAACATTATATTTATTGCTATTATTGTTCATTTTGATTATGCTTATACAAGCAAACATACGAGTATATATACTAATGTATTTATTTAGAAATTAAATTCTTATTTTTTGTTCTTTTCTTTCAAGAATATTTCTTACATAATGTTATGTACTTTGTGCCTATATATATGCACATAATTCTATATATGAGTAGGTATAAGATATACTCGTACAGGCAAAAATTTAAGAAAATTATTTAAGGACATTTCAAATATTACAAAATATTCACAGTTATTTGGTTATTAGTTCATGTTGTTAAAAGTATCCTTGACTTTCAAAGAATAATCAAAAAAAAAAAAAGAGAAGAAAAAAATTAAAAGAAAATTTTTCTTTTTTAGTTCTTACATGCACACATATGAGCTACAAACATACTTATAGGCAATTATGTATAAGAAGAGTATTTAAACATTAAAATGTCCTCCTTGAGCTTTTTATGTGTTTTATTCTTCTCTTTTATTTTCTCTTTTGTTTATTGTTTTGTTTTTTTTTCCTTTTGATATTAGTTACTTTTCTTCTAATTCTTTTTGTTTTTGTTTTTCTTATTTTTTTTTAACTTTTGTTTTATTGTTTATTTTGTTTTCTTTGACAATATTGTTTAATATTTTTTTTCTCTTTCAATATTTTTTTTTTTTGTTTCTCCCTTTTTCATTTGCTGTACTACTACTCGAAAAGCTTTAAAACTTATTTTTTATAATAGTGGGTACTACAAAAATATTATGTTGAATTAACTATCATTATTACAATATAAGCTAATATTAGTATATATATATATATATATATATATAGTTATATATATATATATAAATTTTGTATATAAGTATATACAAGATTTTTATTTGTCAATCACTTCCGCTGTGCTAATGGTATTTAATTTTTTCTTATTTTTATATTCTTATAATATTTTTTTTTTCTTTTTATATTTCAACAATATTCCACAGGGGGTAGACCACGGCTATAAACAGTAAAATATTATATACTCATATATAAATATATATATCTATCTGTATATATATATATATATATACGTATATCATTATTATCTTGAATAAAACATTTTTTTTTACAATTAATTCAAGGTGTTTCATATGAAACATTTGAAAAAATTTCAGAAACAACTTTTTGGCCAACTTCCAGCGAACCATTTAAAGTTACAGCCTGTTAAAAATAATTAATCACAGACTTATATAAAACAACTTTTAACCATTCAGTAAAGGAAGCTTTTGAAAACCTTTAACATAAGAGTGACTGATTACTTTTAATTTGAGCTTTGTTTTCTGAGTAAAAGCTTGTCAAATTTAAGAAATTTCTCGAAAATTTAATTTCGCTATTTTGCGTTTTTTTTTAGTGCCTAATTTTCGTCAGTCCCTCTTGAAGTTTTTCTTTTTAAAAACCATAGCAAATATTTTGAAAACTTACACAACCTCAATGATTTTTAGTTGGAAATTTATCATTTATAAAACTCTTTGTATACGACCTTGAATACGAAACATCCTGTTTATATCATTATTGCTATTATTGTTGTTATTGTCCTTTATATACAATTTTTGTTTTTAACTTTTTATATAATAAATAGTTATAAAGATGATGACTGTTATTCCTATAACTACTCATAAGTACCCTGCTGGGTATATTCTTGTTAAGTTAAAAAATAAATATTGTATACTTTTATACTCGTACGAATATATATATGACATACTCGTATGTATAGCATATTTATATATTTAAAAATATAATGTATAAATGATTTATAAAATATAAGGATATATGAAAATGCTAACGAATATAAAAAATAAATTAAGGATACTATTGTTTAGTCTCTTTTCTTTTTCAAAATTTAATTCATGGGCAATAAACGTTTAGAAATGAAAATTTTATATATTTTGTTAAAAGGTCTCGCATGATTTTCGACTTTTATATATAATTCTTGTTGGTCGGTCGGCCGGTCGATCTTGAATTGAAATAAAATTTTCATTCATCTTTTTTTTTATTGTATTTTATTTGTTGTGGTACTGTTTTGAATTTTCTAAAGAAATTCTGTCCGGCTGTTTTTTATATTTTTTTTTTTATTTGCATTAAATTATTTTTCTACTCTTGATGTCCTTAAGAATCTATATTTGTTGTTTTTGTATACCATATCATCAAAGGTTCAAATCAAAGATCTGAAAATATAGAAAAAACAAAGAATTTTTTTTAAATTTTAGATTTTAATGAATAAAAATTAGAAAATTTTAAAATATTTTTTTAAATTGTTTTTAATAAAATATTTATAAATACAATAAATTAAAAAATTTTATTTCGTATTCCTTCCATTCTTTTCCTTTCAAAAATTTTTTCAAATCAAAAAATATAAAATAAATGAATGAATAAATTCTAATGGATTCTCTCGAAAACACAAAATAATAAACAAACATATAAGGATAAATTGAACAAAAGCCGTAAACTGCGAGGGTATTGTATCGGGATATTAATAACATCGTCTGTGAACTTAGCAAAAAACAAAGTCAAAACACTAATTGGAATAAGTTTAACTTAAAATTTGAAAAATGAAAAATATGAAGCTTAATACGAAAAATATGAAAATATGAAGCTCAAGGTTACAAATTTTGGAAGAAAGTAGATTATATATTAAAACGCTCATATACAAACAAAGATCGCCTCATACTCCATGACAAACTAAATTTGAAATTCATTTTTGATTATTGTGAACTTTGGAACTAAATCTCTTTACAGTTTAGTTTTCATATTAAATTTTAGAATCTAATACCAAATAAACTTCAAATGATTTCTAAATTTGATTATAGCTTTATTGTATTGCTCGAAAAATAATTGTATTTGGTACTTCTCAAATTCAAAATGAAAGCCATTAGTTTTTGATTTATTTTTGTTTTTTAACATTCAATTTTATATTTCTTTTTAATTTTTAGACAATTACCTAAAACCAATATCGATAAAAGCAGAGCATAATTTTAAGTATCAACCAAATGTTGCAAAATTTTTAAGATCTTTTCTTTTATATCGTCTTTCTCATTGTTGTCGTCTTATTTCAAATGAAACGTTTAAGGCTAAATAACAAAAAATTAATGACAAAAACATAAGAATTTTAAATTTATATTCCGTAATAATTTTTTGCCCTGATTATTTTGTATTGTTTAAAATACAAATCATGCCTCCTCCATACCAAAATAATATGTGAAGGAATGATAAAAATCCCCAAAAAGAAAACAAAAGCTCTAAAATTTAGAACATGTCATATAAAATTTATTTATAAAATTAGGTCTAAGAATTTTGGGAGAGTGAAACAGCATTTGGAAAATATTAATTATTTCTAAAGAGTAAACAAAATGAAAATGAAGATCAGGTTAAGTTGATGCGGCCGCCCGAACAATCCAAGCTATTTACCCCCCGCTGTGGTACCACCGAATCGCTTCTTTTCCGCTTCTCATTCGAACCAGTCCGAACTCCTCAAAAATCGTGCGCACTCGAAGAAAAAAGACTCAAGAAATCTCTGTTTGAAATTCGCCACAGTTAGATATAAGCAGTGGCGGTGGGTCACTTTTTCCTCCTTCTCTTCGTCACAGTAACCTCTACAGAAATCGTTTACAAGGAGGCCTATTCTCCTTGCATGTTAGTCAATTAGACAATAGCCCATCACAGCTTTTATTACGACATCGACTTTCTCTTGTCAAAGAAAAATCAGAGCCCTTGAGTGAGACAGTCCAATTTTGGCCACCAAGCCAATTACCGGTAGATGTATATATTACTTGAAGAGCACTGCAGTAATCCGGTAGGCTGAAGGAGAGCTCGTTATCCAATTGCTCAGAATAGTCTCCTCACCTTTTATAAAATTCGGATCTTTCCGTGCAAAATTGCCTTAAAACTCCCCATACATACCTGGGAATTGAAGTTTCAAAGTTCTTCGTGAATGAAAACCGAGGGAAAAGAATCAATTGTTCCCACCACTTATTAACATGCCGCCTGTATCAATATCGTATAATTTTGAAGGTGGATTGGAGAATTCCCAAATATGAATTGCTATATACATAGAAACTTTTTATTATATGCACATATAACCATTAATACTCCAATCACTTTTCTATAAAATCAATTCAAGTCCTCATTTATTCAACACAGTTATTTTATACAAAAAAAAAAAACAAAAACACTTGTGTATAAAAATTTTTCAAAGGTTCGTTGTTCTAAAAAAAAAACTAAATGAATTTAAAAAAAAAATTTGATATTTTTTTAAAAACTTGCAATATTCGTGATCTTCTTTCTACTTTACCAACTTTAAGTGTACATTTTTCTACTTCTTTTTTTGCTTCTTCTTTTCCCAAATTATTGAAATTTCTACTTTCAAAACGAAAAATACAAGCATTTCGACGACAAATATAAAAAAAAAAATTATAAGTTTCAAAAAAGATTTAAAGAAAGTTTCTTATAAAGGATAGCGATGAACTTGCTGGGGGAATAAAGGCGATGGTTACATGAACGGAAGCAAACCTTCGAAAGTATATGTACATTTACGAAAATAAAGTATCATTTAAAGTGAAAACTTAATATAAAATTTCTTTACTTGGTTCTTATACTCTTATACAGTATAAAATTTAGAGAAAAAATGAGGAAACACAAAAAAAAAAATTTTTTAATTTTTTTTCAAAAACTTTCATATTTTTGTTTATTCTTCAAAGGTGGCTAGTTGTATGATGAGAGTGCCGAAGATTTCCTCTTATTTATAAAATTTGTAAAATACTTAATTATAGCACAACATTTCGACATATGTATATGGTGTGCAGTTTGGTATATAATATTAATATAGAACCGATATTGTTGTTGTTTATAAAAAAAATCAATAGAGTTTAAAAATACAAAGCATAAATGGCAACAAAATGAACACCAATTTCAGAACCGAAAATTATACAGTGGCCAGAGACATGAAATTCTTGATTTAAATTATAAGCCCTCTGCCTGCCAGATAAGCAATATTAAACATAATTATTGGAAATAAGATGAAGGATAACAATTATTAAATTCAATATTATTTATTTTCAATAATTGCCTCAAAAACTAACTCTCAATAATTGACTCTGCTCAGTGAACCCAGCGTTGGGACACTAAGAGAATTCGAATAATATGAATACATTAAAAATACAAGTATTAAAATTTTTTTTTTAACTACAACACTAATCTCTTAAAAAATCTAAATCGATAACACATTAAAAGTTTTACAAAAAAAAATATGTTTGATTGCAAATCACATAACAGACAAATCATCCTATAACAGACAAAACAGATGACTCTTTTAATAATAATTTTGAAATTAAAATATAATCTGTAGGCATAATGCGACCATAACATCAGAATATAAAATACTTATGAAAGTAAATGGTATGATTTTTAATATTACTATATGCACAAAAAAAAAAAAAAAATGGAGAACACACACTTATTCTTTGGCAGCCAGCTTATTAAAAACCAATTTCTACTTTTTTTCCTTTTTGTTTTGTTTTCTCTTTTAAATACGTTAAGAACTTTTTCTATTTTCTTTTCTCTTTATTGTTCAAAGTTTTAAAATTACATGCTAGATGTCTCTTATTTGTCTTTCTCTCTCTCTCCATTTACTATATAGATTATGAGAGAAAAATGTATACAATATTTTCGTTTCCAATGAATAAATTGTTTCGAAACCTAGGAAACGTGAGCATTATTTTAAGCATATACCGCGCCGGCACTCACACTTCAAGTTTTAATTGTATCAGCTCATAGAGGTCAAGAAATCATTTATCTTCCAATTTTTTGAAAATTATTCCAATTATTTTATTTTCATTCCCAATCTCATTTTCTTGAAAGCTCCATCTTTCCTTCTATTAACTATTGAATTGTGACAATAGTACTCGTAATATACGGAATTCAATATTATTTAAATAGAAAATGTGCTGTTTTACAAAACATTGCTACCAAATTCTTACTTGTTTTTCTTTCTTTTCACTTCTACACAGAAAAAAAACCAAAGTGAAAGAACCAATTGAGAATAAATTTTACAAATTTATCACTACTTTTTTCTATTCTCTCCAAAAAAAAAAAAACTTTTATAGAAATTGGAAAATATTAAAAAAAAAAAATGTAAAAAAAAAATGAAAATTGAAAAAAGTGAAATTCAAAATTGTGCATTTAATTTGTAACATTTACCAAAAATGGGCAAAAAAAAATGTACACGGAAAAAAAATTTTGATTTCTTTTTTCTTTTCTGCAATTCATACAAGAAAAAAAAGAATGAAAAGTTCTCAATATAAAAGAAAAATGTAAAAATTATAAAAAAAAATATTAAAAAAAAACACAAAAAAGAAACAAGAAAAATTACTAAATCCTGTCTACATCGCAAAAGCATTAAAAAGAAATTCAGAAGAAGACAAAACTTTTCCCTATTTTTTTTTTGGAAGTTTTATTAAAAGTAAAACATGCAATTTTTCCGGATGAATTCGCATTCTGAATAAACTTTTTTTCATTTCATGTTTTCTTTCTTATACACTGAAAAAAAATTAAAAAAAAAATTTTTTTTCCTAACCGCAATTTATTTTTTTTTTCTTTTTGTTTTGCATTCTTTATTTTTAATAATAATATTTTAAATTTTTTTAATTCCAAGAGAACAAAAAAGAACTTGTACTTTTTTTTTTGGAAATTAAATTCTAATATTTAGAAAACAAAAAAAAAAATCTCTTCTTTGGTTTTTTCAATTAAAAAACTTTTTACTTTATTCTTATTTACCTATTGTGTAATTTAATGTGGTAATACTCTTGGTATACATATGAGTATGTAGCACTACTATTGTAAAAAGTATTTCATAATATTGTTATTGTTTAAAACTATACGAAACCATGGCCAGTCATGTCAAAGAAACTCAAAGAGTAACAAAGCAAGATACTATATAAATGCAATTATTTAAAAAGTTCGAATTTATATTTAATATTTTGGATAGTGGAACGATATCAGCTCCATCATATTCTTAGCCCACCTCCAATCAGTACAGAAAAATACTCGTAAAGAGGAGTCCACTCGTAAAGAGCAGATAAAGTGTCTTCTCTCATCCAATTACCACATAACTTTTATAACATGTGTCGTAAACAGATAGCCGTTAAAAAAGTTCCGACCGTCCAATTATTTC